ACAAAGGTGAAGAAAGAGGGAAGGAAAAGAAGGAAAGAGGGGAAGGAAGAAGAAAGGTGAAGAAAGAGGGAAGGAAAAGAAGGAAAGACGGGAAGGAAGAAGAAAGGCAAAAAAGAGGGAAGGAAAAGAAGGAAAGAAGGGAAGGAAAAAGAAAAGTGAAGAAAGAGGGAAGGAAAAGAAGGAAAGAGGGGAAGGAAGAACAAAGGTGAAGAAAGAGGGAAGGAAAAGAAGGAAAGAGGGGAAGGAAGAAGAAAGGTGAAGAAAGAGGGAAGGAAAAGAAGGAAAGAAGGGAAGGAAGAAGAAAGGTGAAGAAAGAGGGAAGGAAAAGAAGGAAAGAAGGGAAGGAAGAAGAAATGTGAAGAAAGAGGGAAGGAAAAAGAAGGAAAGGGAAGGAAGAAGAAAGGAGAATTAAGATTGCCGACCTCTGGTCTGAGGAAGTCCTGCCTTAGCACTTGGCCACCATAGGCGCCCCCCAACACGAGTGATGTCGAGCTGGCCACACACCTCCTCCCCCCTCCCCCAAGGTCAGATACAACCCCAATGAGGCACTCAATGAAATCAAATTTGACACCCCTGGACTGAACTCTTATTTTAGAAAGATACATGAACAGAAAAATGAGGGATGAGACGAGGGATACTAGGCTTAACTGCACACCCTTGTTGAGTTGATTTAAGGAGAAATCGCAAAAAAATTCATTGCAGGGGAAAAATTGGCACATCAACTGTCACCAACCACAGCCTAACAAAACCTCCAGAGTCAGGTGAAGTCTACCTGCCAAGTGGAATGACAGAAATTACAAAAAAAGGGGCAGTGGAATTGTGTTATGCATTCCGTTTCCAGCTTTTCCTTCTGGCTGCCAGCATTGAGATGAACGTAGAAAACAATTCCATCGCATTTTGTTGTTATTATTTTAATTCTGGCTCCTCATGCAGCGGCTTATGAATTATTTCTGGTTGGTTGCGTTGTCATGTTATTTTAATTGTGTTTTAAATCAAACACCAGCCTTGTCAACGGCTGGGTATGTGCCTTGTTGTGGAACAACAGGATATAAATTATAGAAGTAAGCAAGCACAGAGGCATCTAACCCGACAGCTTTCATCCGTGTTGGGGTTCCAGTGCCCATCACCTCGGGGAATAATTTGACGGGTTGGGGATGATGGTGGTTGGAATCTATTTCCTCTAGAAGGCACAAGGTTGGGGGATGGACCAGAATGGAAGAGATGGGATAGGATTCAGTCCTAGGCACCCTGAAATTATTATTTTCCCTTCTCACCACTTGGAACAAGCAACAGACGGGAAACTGACCAGGGGAAACTTGGGTGGGTTCAATTTTGAGATTTTGAGAGTGGGATGTGTGCCCACCCGCTCCAAAAACCTGAAAAGGTACCAATAAAGGAGAATATTTGTGGCTCAGGGTTGAAATGAGGGGTCCTTGGTGCTCTCTGAGCTTGCTTTCTGTCTTGTAGACATTTCATTACCCAACTAGGTAACATCATCAGACTAGAAGAAGGGAATTAGGTTTGCAGAGTGCAGGAAAAGGAGGAGGAAAAGTGGGGGAAGGAGGAGAAGAGGAAGAGGAGGAGGAGCAGGAGGAGGAGGAGGAGGAGGAGGAGAAGAAGAAGAAGAAGAAGAAGAAGAAGAAGAAGA